ATAATGCATCTTGTATACATTTTGATAGACAATTAAGGTTCCTCGTTGACTTAATTAATGCTTAATTGTAGCTAAATTAACTCGCCTGTTACGAACGTAACGGCCAATTTCTGATCATTATTACAGGAAACGTTGTGGAACGACTCGCGAACAATTCGTAACTTCCGTTTAATAAACGTGCTTCCTCCTAAATTTCAAAAATCAATCAATCATCCGTGACGGCAATATTGGATCGCAAATAAAGTTGTCATTGTTATATTTTACATTTATCATGTTAATTTATCACGTTTAAAATTGCATCATATTATTGACAAGGAATTTCAAAAAGAGAACGCAGCGAAATTCAGAGATTGAATTAACATACAAAAGGCCGAAATTTATTTCGCGGTAGATTCACGCAACGATGCTGATGATTACATCGCTGTAAACACGGTGCGTGCCTTTTACGTCTCGTTTCATAACTTTCAGCACACTTTAAACGCCTCAGTGCCCCGTTACTTCGATGCGTTAATATACGACGGGTTTATGGGCTGCTACAACTGGCAGCCGTCAGCCATACATTACGTTTCCATCTGAAGAGATCAACGATGCATCTCGATCAATGAGACTCGCGATTACCAGCAATTGATTTCACAAAATGTCGCGGCTCATTATTTATAGTGTCCGTTTAACGTTGCGTCATTTCTGCACGGTGATAGTTTGCCGAAACCTGTCATTCAACTCTATTCGGGCAAATATAATAAATAATAATTCTCCGATCAATCTTCATTGCGTTTCGAACCGTGCGACGTTTGCTCCAACGACAAAGATAACGAAGGATAAACGTTCGCGCGTCTCACTGAGAGCAGCTTTCCGCGGAATCGAAGAAATTGCATTTCATCATAGTGAGATGCGCCCCGGGGGGGCGAGACAGAAATTGCTCGATCAGTGTTTGCCCTCCTTTTCCGGCAGGCATTCGCACATTTTACAGACGTACATACGGCGCCTCAATCCCGGAGTTCGACTCAATTAACTCTCCCGGCAAATTGTCTGAAATTGAATTTTCGTTTCATCACTGTATGTTCGCTCAGCAGTTACAATCCAAGTTAGGATTATTGGTGAAAGTGCTCCCGTTTATATTCTATGATGAAACTTCATGATTTTAGATGTATTCGAGCATTATCGGTCTTTATCGGTTTCAATCATCATGAAATTGACTTCTCATTAATTAGCCTTATGTGTCAAAGAGATATGTAGGATGTTTTGTATTTGTACTTGCAATTAGCATTACTAACTTTATTATGTGTCACCATACATTCACCTATTATTTGTTTGAAACGTGATTCAACTTAATTATTAATAGTAAATAAATTATTATTAAGATTTGCAATATTAAATTTGGTTGATAATAATTGTTAGGATTATCCTTTGTGACAACATATTTGACAAAGGGAAAAATATAGTGAAGAGAATTAATGTTTCTTATTAAAATGGTTTTATTTAAGAACTTAGCATTATATTACTTAGTAATACATTACATAGACTTATAACACGAAAGTGAAAAATTTTATTCCTTATTTAAGAAATTGTATATGAAAGTTCAACTGCTGATGAATGAACAGTGTTCAACGAGGGATATGCGTCTATAAAAACTTATGCGTGGAAGGGAATGAGAGTAATTATAATAAATGGAACATGAAAACTATATTACGGTCAATCGACTCATTGCCTTAAGGTGACGCGTAGGAATCGATAAGCGTCATATCTAGAACAGCAACTTATTAATAAAAAACATGTGATGAAGTGGTAAATCCGTAAGGATTATAATAGCATGTGGAACTTGGTAAGGTATTTCGGATTTTTTTTCTGGTAGGTCTGAAAATTGTATTTTCGGTGTCGTCAGAGCATTGGTTCGAGGACTAATATTTGTGTAAAGTACATAGTCGGTTACGATTACAGGCTTAAGATGGGCTGAATATGAAGTTCTCTCATAGAGATCGTTATCGAGGTCTTCGTCGTCCAAGTATTCGTCTGAATAGTCATCCGAATCATAGTCCAAGTCGTTATTGACTGAATAATAATAATATTGCTTTGGAACAAACTTATTACTGTCAAAAAGTATATCGGTTTCATCAGTTCCTGATAATTGCTCGTTATTTTTATATTGATTATGGACGAAAGAATCTAAAGGTTGTACAAATGTAGTTGTTACTGGTGCATTGTTTGTTCCTAGTGATTCCTTTTCGGAATTATTGGGAATAAAAGGGATGTGTATTGCAAACTTATCTTGTCTTGGCTCGGCTGTGTTGGTCACGTCCATATTTGTGATTTTCTGTAAAACACACGAATGCATTTTATTAATTATTTTTAAGAAATTTCTTCCTTTTTTTCTTTGAGAATACGTAGATCGTATGAATAGTATATATTTTATGGAACAAGGTACTTTTTAAACATTTAACATTTATCCTTTTTTTATCAAGATTGCATGAATTTTATTTATTAATTTTAAATTGAGATTTAATTGGAAATATTTCCGCGAAAAATTTATATCTCATTTTAGCTGTGATAATCGATTAAATTTCTATAAATTTAACAGAAATAAATTTTAACGACGTGAAACAAATTAGATTAACGTTAAAATCTTTACCTGTAAAGTTTTCTTTTCGAGCTCTGGATATATAGCTTGTTGATAATTCCGTGCATGTTTCTGCAAGATTACTTGAGGCATTAATTCTTCGGAATATACGGAATCATATTTCGGCAAATATTCATATCTATTAAATTGCCTCGTTGATTCGTCTACAGCATCTTCATATGTACCATCATAGTTGTTATAATATTTGTCGTAGGCAATCTGCGATGCTGGTTCCTCGTTTAGCGATTTTGCCTGAAATACGATCGGTATTGGATTCGAAAATGGTTCGAATTTTGTATAAGGTTCATTGTGAGTGAAGTGTGACTCGTCGTGATTAATACGAGATGCTTCATAATTTTGTCCATTTCCTTGGAAAACTGTCTCTAGCGTTGGTTGGATCGGTGTTAGTTGTGTTGGAGCTTTCTCATTGGGATATTTTGGCGTGCTCGAACTGACGGGAGATGATGTGAGAGGCGGATGTTGCATTTTATCCTTTATTGTACTTTCAGTTGGAGGACTGCGGTACATATTTTCCGGATAGAGGCCAAGTAAAAGTCCGGATGGCCGATCATCAGTCTGACGGTTTTTCACATGTTTATCTGTAATTGAACGTGATTTATATTGAAAGCGCATTTACGTTAATATCGACATATTTTTGAATGTTGTTTACATTTTACTGGAACTTGCAAATTGGAATCACACGATTTTCAAAATAAGTATGTTAGATTGCTCCATGAAAAAGAACTTTAACTGTCATTGTTTACCATTAGTATCGGTAGGTTCGTGTTTTGGAAGTAGCGAGTCGATGTCCGTAAGATGTTTGGTGTCGATTAAGGGCGACTTCGTGGCCACATCATTGTCATTTGCAACGATCGGAGATTTACTGGATTCGATGTCTGTAGGAGTGGATCTACGCGATCTTGTATGTTGGTAGTGTACTATCTGGGAAAATGTAATCCTTAAGAAATTTTCAATAAGAAAATCATTTCCGAGTACTATTCGTAATAAATATCAGTTTGTGATATAAGTATAATTTAAGAAAAATCTATTTGGCCATAAAATAAATTGGCCTCTATATTTAGCATATAAAATAAATTTATTTTATTTTATTGATATTTCATTGATATTTCATTGATTCACTTTAAATAAAAAAAAAGAAATACGAATTTAAAATATTAAATGAAATAAAATTTAAATATCAGTCGAATAATAATGATAGAATATTACAAAGTTAAATTGCTGAAACAAATATTTTATCAAATAACTGTGTGTGATGAGTATTTACCGAGGGTTGAGGGTAGCCGACGAACACCGAGGGTCGCATGTATCCATGACCTCCTATCTTCGCGTAATGGAAATGATTAGGTTTTGGTAACCAATAATGATGATGATATAAATGATGATACGGAGGTCTTAGCGCAACTAAAGCTTTGTCCTGGTACGATTTATAATAGGGATACACTGTTTGAACACTCTGAATTTTTGGAAGATATGGTATCGTTTGTTCGTTAGGTGATTGTTTGATGTGATATTGTTCGGTCTGGGGTTGCGTTGGATATTGTAGAAGAGAATGATGTTGCAAATATTGTGGATTTTTATATTGATGTTCATAGTTGGGTTGAACGAGAATGTCGGCGAGTACGACGCTTATCGACGTCACTGCTAGGAACTGGAATGATTAAGAAAACTTTATGAAAATTGTTCTCAAATGGATATATTTAATATAGTATAATTGTATTTTTTAAATTATATATGCGAACAATATAAATGATTAAAAGGAAGATTTGTGAATTTACTGCGCGAAATTATTTAAATATAAAAAGCGAATTGAAGGGAAAATATAAAAAAAGACATATTATTTTATTAATTTCTATAAAATTCATCATTACGATGATCATTAAAACATCTAATTTAGAAAATAAAGATTTAGATAAGAACAAATCTAAATAAATAAATGTAAAATGTGTCAAAATCAGAAAAGTTTACTCACAAATCCTTGACACGACAACATCCTGATTTCTTATTGCTCTTGTAACTATTCGCTCGAAACTGATTCGATTTCTCCGTCGCTAAGCGTAAATAACCCGTGGAATTGCTGATGTTACAAGTTTCGTGTGTCCCGTAATTTGACCAATCTGTATTCTGACCATGTAAAATCATTCGGGGCAAAAATATGAATGTCATCAAATGTTTTTAAAAACCCTCGCACGCATTCTGGAAATATCATTAATGAGAATTGCTACATTTGCTAAATGATTGAAAAAAAAAAAAAAAAAAAAGAAAGGACAACGCGTGTTCGCGCTGTGTTGTAATCGGTACGGCATGCGTTTGCTTAACGGCGAGCTTGCGAACTGTAACGATCATCGCGTTTCGTGTGGACGCGATTTGAGTCGCGCGCGCGGACTTCCGTCTGTTGTAAAACGCACGATTACGAAACCCAATAATGATATGCACGTATGGAATGCGCGAAATAGCACTTCCTCACGAGAGTTCGTTGCACTTCGGGGCCAGCGCACCCGCAGACGTGCCCTGATTATCGCGTAAGTGGGTGGCTGGATGCCGAGACGTTGATCTAGACTTCTCTCTCGCTGCGGGCCACTTTGAATATAAATATCGCTAAGAAATTGTCCGTCTGCGTTTCTTTCGTCGTTATCTCGAGTTATAGCACGCGAAGCTTGAAACCAAGAGGTGAATTCCTGCAGCGCTTTCGTAATTCCCAGATATTATATAGTAATATCCACTAGCAATACGGTAATATCGTGTTAAATTACTCGCAATCTCCACGGTAATTTCAATATAAGCTCCCAAATGAGCAGCTATTTTCACAATATTGCGTATTATGCGAAGTTTTTAACAATGAAAGAAGAAATAGAAATAAAAATTTTCCGTTTCATAATTCTGATTTATTAAATATATTTATAAATATATTTTTCGTATAATATCCGTTTTTCTAATATTAATATGGCTTTTTATACATGAAAATTATATATTTTTTCTGAGTGCCACACTTATTTTAATATCGCATTACAAATTTTTTAATTTTCTTTATATTTTTTTACCAAATTTATTATAAAATTTCGCAGCAAGTGAAACATATTTCTGTAAAATGACCTAATTATCAGAAAATTATAGGAATATTTAATAAAATAAAATTATAGAAATATTTAATAAAAAAACTTCAACTGTCAAAATTTCTCAATAATTTATCCTTCATATCTCGGGCGATTATGTCCCGGCGATTGATGACCCTATGCGATGCAAAGACCGGCAAGACATAGTAAGCCAATTTATGTTTTATAAAATGATCTAGGTTGCGTATTCGGTACGTGATGCCGGCGGCGCATCTGACGCTGCGCGAGGAGGACGTGGTGAGACTGACCTTGGAGTTTCTCCATAGCCGCGACCTTCACATCTCGCAGCTCTCGCTCGAGCGTGAGACCGGCGTGATAAACGGCCAGTACAGCGACGATGTGCTTTTCCTGCGCCAACTAATTCTCGATGGACAATGGGACGACGTGCTCGAGTTCATCCAGCCGCTGGAAGCGCTGTCGGATTTCGACATGAGGAAATTCACGTATTCGATCTTGCGCCACAAATACGTCGAGCTGCTGTGCATCAAGTCCGAGGCGAACGTCATAGCTGCTGGTACGAATGGCAGCGTCGACAATGCCGTGGAGGAGGTCGTCAAGGTGTTAAGCGATCTCGAAAAAGTCGCGCCTTCCAAGGAGGAATACAGCAGTCTGTGTCTGTTACTCACTTTGCCGCGATTGACGGATCACTTGCAATACAAGGACTGGAATCCTAGTAATGCAAGAGTGCAATGTTTCCGGGAGGTTCATCCTTTGGTAGAGAAATTCCTGCCCGGTGACAGGAAAAACGTTGATCCCGCACACCCGATTACCTCGGCAAAAAATGATCGACTCATTCAGCTTATCATCAAGGGCATCTTGTATGAATCCTGCGTAAATTATTGTCAAGCAAAAGCTACTGGGTCGAAAGAGAGCGAACAGGTGAATTTCGTCTTTCCATCTTCTTTTTACTTTACAGAATATTAGAAAATTATCAAAGTTACATTAAAATTATTTTCGTTTTTGTATTTGGATATATAATTATACATATGATAAAATTTCAGATAATTTATTAATAATTCATTTATATATATTATACATTTATTTCTTCTTTTTTATTTTATACATTTAATTTAATTAAGATATAATTTATTCCGTGTATTTCTATTACAGGTAGAAATGAGTTTTTCGAGGCTACTAGATGGCTCCGTGGGCTTCAGTGATTCGGACTTAAGCTTGCTCTCGTGGCTTCAAAGTATACCTCCTGAAACGTTCGCCGTACCTTTCGCACAAAGAACCTTAAACGTTGACGTCGAGCGTCTGGAAAGGCCTTCTTTAGAGACCTCGTGGACGGAACACATGCTGATAACGCCGATCAAACCGAAGACTTTCCCGCACAGCGCTATGCCATTCACCAGGCCGAGATCTGCCGCGGACATGATGTCTCGTAGCTTAGTTCCGGCTTTAGAGGCTGGCCTTGGGCCTAGGAGTCCCAAAAACACATATATACCATCGGCGGCGCTTATGGCGCTATCCGTCGGTGATGTAAATCCGATGTCTAGGTCATCTTTCGCTAGCTTCCATTTGACTGGTTTTAAAAACAATAAATTGATGAATACTAGCGTCGATAGGCTCTTCGAGAATGAGGGTGATGTCTTCCTTAGCTCGAGTTATGCCGAGTTCCAACAGCTACCCTCGATACAAGAGACTATGACGAATGCTCAACCTAAGGCTCCGCCGAGAACGAGGGGACACTCCAAAAGTCCTGATGGTAAAATTATAAAATATAATATTTTTGAAGTTTTTAAATTTTGTAACACACACACACACACACACACACACACACACACACACACACACACACACACACAAAGATACATGTACAATGGAATGTCATAAAAGATTTGAATTAAGAAAATTTTTAAATCTGATCACATGTATATAATAACACAAGTGTTTAAATCCCGATTTATTTCTGATTTATCTAGCTTTAATTGATTTTATTATTCCACGATTTATGGAACTGTTAAATAGATCTCTATATTATTCTAAATTATTTTAAAAAATAATCTGTAATTTCCTTTGCATAATAGGTGTGGACGTGGACCCTTCAGCGACATCCACGCCGGAACGTAGAATGCCTGGAAGGGAATCGCCGGCGCCCTCGACTGCCAGGAGTTCCAGAAGAGATTCTTTAGCGGATAAACCGACAGGAGTCGCAGCCAAAATTACAGACTCAACTGCGATACCGGTTAGAGCAATGGTGGTTCCTAGCGATAATATTGAACAAAGTTACAACGGTGGCTTATTTAAGGAATATCAAAAACAGAAGCAGAGATTACAAGAAACTATCCAACAAAAGGAAAGAGAGAGGGACGAATTAGTCAGGCAGCTAGCTGCACCGTTACCTATGCAAGTAGCAGATAATAGACTTCAGGGAGAAGGGTGAGTATTTTTTTTAAGATTTTATTCAGAAAATATTTTCAAAAAAAATAAAAAAACATATGATATGATTTTTAAATGCTAGGAAGATGTTTTATGATGAAAGATCACAAAAAGAATATATAGTTTAAGAAATTATTATTTATTTTTAAATATATGGCCGTACAGTTAATAATGTAATGTATCTTGTCAATATTATTTATATCGGTGAAGCAGGTCTGTTGCATCGAATGCGTTCAATGAAAGTTACAGCCCATTGCATTCTCCAACAGATGGCGATAGTGAAATGCCTTTGTAGCGTTTATTATAGTAAAACATGTGCCAAGAATAGCAGTTTAGATTTAGATTCCGATGAAAGAAATGCTGATTAAAATAGACTATTACCCTCCTGCGAGAATTGGTGGAAAAGACTGATTATTTTAATTGTTTGGCATTTCTTTACATTTTTTAAACCGAAAGACCAGGTCTTAATCATTTAAAAAAACTTTTAGCTGAATGAACTTTTGTAAAAACTCATGAATTAACATTTTAAAAATTTATTATATTTTTATATAAACTTGTATTAAATTATTTAATATTTGTAATCTTTTAAAACAAGTTTAGCAAATTGATATTAAAAATTAATTAAATATTTAAGATAATTTATATGAAAAATGTTTCTAAGATGATTCTTTGAAAATTATATAAATTTTAATTTTATTTCCGATAACAACGAACAATTTAAATTTATTATAAATCATCCGTCTATTCAAATTTCACAATTCTTGTATAAAATTAGCGTTATTTAAAATTTTAAGTTTTAGGTAAACGTATTAATTTGTTTTCCATTGTTGCGTACAACGTGTATCATTCTTAGAAAGTGATTTTCTATGTCTATACTGTTTCACAATTTAAAGTAACCCTCGAGAAAGCATTTGTTGCTCGCACAAACTGACGATCGATGTTGGAATTTGATCACGGTTCATTGGCATCGACCGCTGATATCGTGCTCGAACCGGATACCGGATGCATGTAGATACTGTACAGCAAAGCGGTGGCCATACAATTCCATCGGTTCTGCCCTATCGATGATTCATGCGCATACTTCCATGCCGCCGCATTGTCCCATTCATGCGCGTGACTACATCCTGTAAAAAGAGTATACGAACACGCAAACTTGACTTATATTATACCTGGGCCGAATTTATGTATTAAGTTATTTGCATAAAACAAAAAATTAATATTTTTTAAGTTTCACATTTTTAATCAACTTAAAATGAATTATGCGAAAAATGCATAAATAGCATGTGATATATAATATATGTAGCTTATTAGTTAGATTTAATATTTATTTATATTATATTCATAATTGCATTATTTCAATCAACACTTTTTATGATTCAAATAGAAATTTTGATAAATATATTTATAAATTATTGTAACAAAGTTATCGCAGCTATCATTAGTTTTTCGTTTATGAAATCCAGCTAAGAGAATCTACCTTGAAATATATGATTGCATTACGAGATGCCTTCCAAGTAGTAACTATTTCATCGTATATAGTTAAATAGTATTTTCACTAATGGTTACGTAGATTTTCACGAACGTGCTAATGAGACTGGCTAGCAGTAGTGCTGACGTTTTCGCGGAATGAATCGAGGAATTAACTCGGTCCAAAGAAGCTTCGAGTGTCTGGCAGTTCGTTAGCGGCGAAATACGGCGTATTTATACGGCGGCGTTTCGCGGTCGACGAGATGGAGACCGAACAAGAGCCCTTGATCCTTCGGCGAGTTCAACAAACGTGGTTATTCTTGATGATTCGCTAGATTTATCAGACGCGCATTCTGTTTTCGTTAACGACATATAAAGCTCCCTTTGAAATACGCATTCTGTCTTCTTTCAAAACAATGATATAGCTGGAAAATAATTTTTATTTTTATTATTATACAAACTGATTTTTAGAATAGTTTCGTTTGTATTATTCTATATGAATGTAAAGACGCGAAAAATTGAAAAAATTCTTGTTTAACTCGTTAGCGACATTTAAAAAAAAAAAGATTTACTAAAATATTTGAAAATACTTTTGAATTTGAACCATTTTGGAACATAAGTTTCTGAAAATATAAATAGTTCCTAGAAATCGATATAATAAAAAAGAAAAAATTTTTTCAAATCATCACTAGAAATAACAAAAAAATTTGAATATTATAATATTCCTGAGAAATAATTTTAGATGAATATAGAAATATCGAATATATCATAACGTTTAAATGTACACATGAGTGCATTGTTCAGACATTGCTTGCTGATTCTCTTAATAATCTTGTTTTTATTAATTATTATCTGCGTTGCCAAGACTATCAAGCAGACAAATATGCTTTTACCGTCGATTACATCTGCATAAATGTAATATATCAAATTTCTTTAACGAGGAGACAAATTACAAATTAATGCGATGGACATTGCCGATGCCAAAGATGGATCTTTGGATTCTTCTCAACGCTGTTTGTTCGTTGTAATGAAGCCACCTACTTGCGCGAATACGGCGAGATGCAGCGCATAATTAGAACGCGCGAGCGATCGTCATTGGTAACAAACGAGGCTTTGTTGAAACATCATCGGAATACGAAGCATAATCGCGAAGCAGTTTCTCTTTCTCCGTCTCTCTCTGTTGCCTGAGTTAAAAGCGCCTCGTTAACACTGAACATTCCAGGTGTTGTGGTAGAGATAAATAGAGGAAAAAAAATTGGTTTTAAATAATCGTTCCACATCGATGAGTTTATTTATTGTATAAATTTTCATGATCCAAAGATTGATTATACAATTACATAATTGAGCACAATTACATAATGTTATAATTGTATAATTAATTTCTTTTATTATCACTTTTGAACTTATGTAATAAGTATAAATTCGTTGAAGTGTAAAAGAATTTTATTACAGTTTGCAATAAGATATTATAAATATATTACGTTATATATATATATATATATATATATATATATATACTTAGGAATAATAAAATCGTAGATGTGGTAACAAAATTTAATAAATAGAATAATGCAAATAAATTAAACTGATAATTCTCCCTAACAATTTAAAATTTTTACGGATTAATATCGATTAATTAATGATGATTTATTAATAATTACTCATTTATTACAGAAGAAAAATCATTAAATTTATTTTTCAAAATTTATTATATCGACTAATTTTATCCAAAGATCTCAATTACAAATTAGAATTATTTCTACAGCATTTACTTTGTGAAATACGTCGACAATATTTGCCGAGTTTTTTTTCTAAGGTAGATGTAATCGCTATAACAGTAATCAACAGGTAATATGTGATATTTGCGGATACATTCGCGCAATGATGGTAACGCAATCGCGTTGCTACAAATTTCATATCCGCGTAAGCCACGTTCCGAAACGGAGTGAATTGTGAAAGTTTATCGATCGCGAGCAAATGCGGAACTGTAACACAGAAAACGGATGCGAAAAAACCTCGAGAATTGCTTAACGCATCAATATTGTACGGAAAATATTTCGCGTTGGCGTATGTAAAGTCCGTTGCGCGGGTGCGACTTAAGAAAGCAGAACGGAGAATTCCTTTGCTGAGAAGGCTGAAAAATTCACGGAGACTCGCGTTCGTTGCTGATGTAAGGCAGAAAGTGTGGCGATACGTTGTGAAAATGAGTATAATTTGCGTGTATCATTTTAGCCGCGAGAAATAACTGTGAGGTACTTGTAGCTTCTGTTTCTCGAAGCGGGACATCTGCCAGATGTTTCTCGTGCGATTCTCCCGAAAGCGATTGTTCGCGCACTCGATGTTCTTTCGCTCGAAAATTATTACCCACTTAAAAACAACAGCTTGATCAAAAAGCTTGACTAACATTAGTCTCATACCTTCTCTTTAACATTTATGTGTTTTTAAAATCTTTGAGTGATAAAAACAACCTAGATATTTCAAATTTCCTATTAGGTCTTAAGGGAAACTTTGGAATTCAAAATTACCAAGCAGACAAATGACAATTAAAAGATTCAATATTGGGGAGATTTTCCCGTAGAATTATATATATTTTCTTATAGAATGAAATTCACTTTTCGCATGAATTTGTTATCTAACATTTCTTCTACCACATTTTTATTCGGCAAATTATTCTCGATGCTCCTCCCTTAACTTTCATCATTTATCAAAATGCAAGGAAGAGAGCGATATGTAGTCACGCTATTTATTCCGTTAAAGCAGCAGACTGCTCCTCCTTCTCTCCTTTATATCCCATCTATTTCTACATTCATTTCTACATTTGAGTTTTCTAAGAACCCACAAAAATTTTCTATACCTCTCGTCGTCTATCGCGGTTGCGCGCAAAGCGACAGCTGATCGCCGCGGATGCATCGCGGCGCGCATGCAGGCGGCCGGAGGGAATCAAAGCAGCCTCTGATAGGTTCGCGATATACGCTTTGTTATTACGAACGGAGTCCGGGGCTCCGACAGGCCTGAGCTCAGTCGTGCCTAATGCCGCTGCCAGGCGATTCGTAGTCACCACCACCGCTCTTGCTCCCTCGCGATATTCCACATCGGGCCTCCTGGTCGGCAGTATCGGTTCGGTACCGCCCGCAGCTGCAGTTGCACGGCATACGACAAACGACACACCGCTGGCTGGTTCACAACTGCTCTCTCGCACGCCAGTTCTCGCGCGACGAGACGAAACGGGCGCGAATTCCGCGGCTTCCTGGGCGGTCAAGCCGGCGTCGGCCTCTCGTCCTTTTTCTTCGCGTCTTTTCGAAGCCGTATCGGTCGTCGAGTGCACACTCCGACGATTCCGTTGCAACTGCAGGGGACATTCTCCCCTCGAGTTTCGTTCGTCGGGCGACTATCGCACGAAGGGAGCCCCGTGTGCGTGGCGATGAAGGTGTGAAAACGCATCACGACTCGAGGACGGCGAGGAACGTGCAGGAAGCATGATTTATCACAAACCGACGACGCCGCGATTCCGCATCGCCGAGCGGGTCTGCGTACAGCCTCCTAACAATCGGCCGACTTACAATAAACAGAACAGTCACAGCAGCACGTGCAGCCTCCGGAGCGTCAGTTCCACGCCGCCGTGCATAAGTCGGTAAATATCATTCGGTCGCTTAGTGACATTTACCGCAGTGTAATCTTCTGCCGGAGCATCCTTTCAATTCGAAATATCAGGATATTACAATATCAGGATTTTCATTTTTTTTTAAAGTTTAAAACTTTTAATAATATTCCAGGATTATTCGTTCAACAGCCATTTAAATTTAAATAATATTTAATATCGCGCATTTATTTTTTTATATCGAACAATTATCTCAAGGAGTTACTTCTTGAATTTATTTTTAAATAAATTCAAGGAAAGATTTAAAATTGATCAATTGATGATATTAAATGATATAAACTATAGATTCTTGTTAGATTGGCACAGTGAGTGATAAACGCTAAGCCGCGCAATCTGCACGTACATTTTTTTTTTATACCGCCCTATACATTTTTCCATCATGATCGGTGTCGGCGAAACGATTAACGGGAAAGGATCGGGGGACTCCCAAATACTAATTGGTTACCATGATTTCCGCGAGTACGACTTAATCGCACCTGCTGTATTGTATAACTTATAAGCCACGCTCAGCAAAAGCGCAACTTGCTGTAGAGCTGCATCGGGAGCTCATGTCGCATCGGAAAACGTTACCTCAATTGAGAACGCAGCACGCGCCATGATGCAGCGCGATTTTGTATAACGGTAACGAAAACTGAGACGTCGCACGATGATCGACCGGAGAGATTGTTTCGGTGATTTAGAGAATGTCAGATTGTAAATCATCTGTACATATCAAACCGTTACCGTTGGAAGAAAAAAAATCTGGCAGCTCCTTCGCGATCGAACGCAGCTTCGAGAAAGTTTCAGCTTTTCAGTGGACGATTACCTCGAGTTGCACCAGATAAAAGATCCGAGAGATTTTCCGAGAGAAAATTGAGAGATTCTCAATTTGTAAGGCAAATTTTATGCACATCAGGCCTCTCGTGAGATAACGCATCTTACGAAAATTTATATGTTGCTCATGCACATCGCATCACTTGAGATGATACCTAATCCGTCGTTCATGCCTCGCTGGAAGACCTCGCGAGTTAAGTTCGCGGAGGTCAAGATGGCCCAACATCTTTTTCCCCCGTCTTGGGACGGTGACAACGAATCCCTGATAAATCACGTCTCGCTGAGTAATAGCATGGGTTTAGAGGTCTTGCAATTTCTCAGACTTCTTTATTTCTATTTCTGCACGAAAATAGCGGTCGTAGTTAATTCCCAGATCTTATTCTTTAGAGGTAGAATAGACGTTTGAAAAGAATAATTATTTGTAATAATAATTTAAGATAAAAACAATTTCTGAAAGACAGAAACGAATAAATTATTTGTAATAAAGATTGACATTTTAATAAAAAATTCTTTAATCTATATACGAATGTTTCATCCGTTCTTAGAGCTTATAAATATAAAATGTCTATATTATTTTATACTTATAAATATAAAAAGTTTATATTATTTTATATTTAAATTTATTGTATGAAATTTCTCTTAATTTATCCTTAGAAATTAGTTCTAGATTTTTGTTTGAAAAAATATTTTAGATGCTTTAGATGCTTTTTTGCTTCTTAAATTCAGATGTGTCGTATGCGTAGCGTTTATAAAATTATTGCGTGTTATTTGAATGACTGGAAATGAATGACTGGATTTACATTGGCTAGTGAGATCGTTAGCTGTAATATGTCAACGGAAATGAGAGATCAATAAGTGACAGATAATCACGTAATATCTCCAACACCATAATTTCCTCGTACTTTTACGAGACTTTATGATCGCGTGTGACAAAATTGGATCGAGAATTATCGTTCGCGTTTGTTTCTGACATTTGCAGGATAAAGCAGCCTTTGGGAAGTAAAGGACCTTCGCCCATTCACACGAGTGCACCTGTCCGGTCTGGAATCCAGTCGCCAAAGCCCACGATCAATGGATCGGATCCAATCGCGTAAGTTCTCACGTCATATTACATAAAAATTCTCGCTGCGAAAATTTATAGCTTTCTCAGAAATGTTACATCATGTAATATCTTTGATCATACTTAGCGTGACTTCATACTAGCTATGACTTTCTTTTCGACTCTCTAAATATTAAATCATTTCCAATTATTTCATGAAAGATCTTCGGCAAACGTAATGCATTTTTAATGTTTTTGACAAACATTATTAATGTACGTATTTGTTTTTATTACTTACATTATACATTTCTTTTCATACATATCTGTTACGTAAACTTCATGATTTTTATTTTCACATGATTCAATGCCCAAGTTGATTGTGCATTTTATTGTTGCAGAAGGCAAAACTCGGTGTCAAGCGGCATTTACGATTCAAGGGTCTCGGAAGGACATTACGACGTCATCAAATCGAAGGTAAGTCAATTTTTAAATATCATATCGGGTTTTCGCTGTCTATTTGATATCCAGGAATAACTGGCAGTTTTCCTTTCTAAGAGCATAATACTATGTTTTACGCACACTTGCTCCTAACGTTAGATCATTTAATGATACGATAGCGAATGACACGATAGCGTGTCATTCAGTTATCACACAACGATCGTAAATCATGAGCATCGACGTATTACTTCGAGTCATACAGTCATTTTATAGTTGTCTCTACGGCAGTGTCCGTTGCTCTGTTGTTAAAAAAAATTGCAGGTTGATTTACCATTAGCGTAATGGGTAAAAGGGACTTTCTATCCGTCTTTTCGTATTTTTCGCATAGGTTTTTGATGCAAAACCGATAACTCGCTTATAGTGTCGTCCGTAATTTGCCGGAGAAACCGGCCTTCCTATATTTTCCGCGAATCGACCGAGATAGCGAGCACGTAAAATCGATTTATATCTCGTTCTACGTCGCTTCCGGTATAATTTAAAGGGGATTTTAAGATTGTTATCGCGTCATTTTTGCAGCGAGCCAGAACTTTATGTTCAATATAAAAGACAAACCAACGCCGGTAAAACCAACGTGCACGTGTATATGCCGTTCAAATCTGTGAGTAGAAACCGCTTAAGTTTGTATAAGAGAGCGGAAAAACAGATATATCACGCCTCGTAAATCTGCTTGAATGCGTATTAAATCGAAAAATACTTTGTATACTAGCGCAGAGAAGTAATAGAAAATAGAAACTTGAATTTATGATTACGATTATGATCTTACTGTCTTTCTAATAAATTACACTTTTTATAATATGTAAATAAATACGCGTTATTAATGTGTCATATTTATTTCGCGATATTTATTTATAGTTTATCGTTACGAAATGTACTTATAACCGTATATAAATTTTTCATTTTTGCCGGTTGCTTTATTTTCGATTTAACTCTCCTCATCATTGATTAGTCATGGCTATCAAGAAACTGTCAATTAGACACTGTAATTACTTCAATTATCAATTAATTATTGGATAACCTTCCGCATGTCCTTTCGCTCGATAGATCTTATTTCTCGTACCCTTACCCGCGTACAATACTTTACTCATCTATTTATTTTCTTGAAATGTATTTTTATATTGGACGCTTATGAATTTTTTAATGTGAATTATTGAATAGACATTTATTTCTTTACTTTATCGGAAATCATTGCTTCTGAGTTTTTTTTCTGGTATTATGGTTTTTATAAAAAGAAAATTCTACTGCACAGAATTTTCCCTTAAAATTTGGATAAGTGGCATTTGCCAACTAATGTTAACATGCAATATGAAATTACGTATTTCCGCACCGGATAATATAACAATAGTGGTCGAGCGGTGTTAGCCGAAAATTTGCATGTCAATTGCTTTTTGTATTTCCGACGGCGGAAATGTCACAGCAATGTAAAGAGTCGAATAGCGACTCGTTTACCACGAACAGAAGTGACGAAAAAGCATATAATACCAGCATGTCCTTAAAATTCGGCTACTCGGTTATTCGTTTTCGCGAACATGCTGTTTCAAAGAAATAATATTAATGATGATTTCGTAAATGACCTCCATTTATTATATTCTATTTTATCATTTCTATTGCTATATTTTTCATTTCATGTCTGTCTGCTTGAATCTGGAAATTAATATACAGAGCATGACTAGAAAATTCATTGGAAAGCTAATTTAGAAATTATTATTAATAATTTTAATTTTAATAAGAAAATATTTTTTTATTTATCAAACTGTGTAAAGTAATGTATATTAACACGTACGCTTTTTAGATTAATTCAAATGTGATTACACGAGATAGATTAGTTCATTTTTATTACTGACCTGCGTTGATGCAAAAAAGCTGTAACAGAACGATAAGAATCGAGATGTAAAAGATATCACCGTTCTGGATTCAGTGGCCTCGTTATTGACTCGCTTACATTATGCAATGCAATAATTTCGCGGAAGTACCGTGACGTCAGCGAGGTAATCACAGTAAACGACGCATTTTATAATTTCCTGATGTGATCATTATTTTCCTAAATGTCAAAAAAGATGCGCTATAATTTCTGCTTTGATATGCGATTTTACCGTTGATATCGATTTTACCGTTGCCCAGCCTCGGACTGTTTATTTGTCACTTATGTCGTGAGAGGGCTTGGCACAGTTGTACGTTTCTTTTTTTTTTTTTATTTGCGATACATCATCGACAACAACGACGCAATATATCAGGTCGTTGGAGTGGCGCAGAAAAATTACACTGCTGCAATTGGAGATTGAAATGTTGCACCTCCGCGTAAGTGTGCCGGCGATATTGTAGCTTACCGGCTCCCTAGTTTCTCGCGTTTGTCTTTGTACAATCAATCCAACGAATTGGCTATGAAAGTTCGTGTTGACATGCCTCACGAATATCCATTCGCGTTCCACATAATGCGCTCTCGCGTATGCTTCATATGCGACGACAGCGGTACATTTGATAATCTCATATTAATAAAGTCAGCAGCTGCGTGAGCAGTTTCTCCTTGGTGAAAATTTTAACCATTAGAATTATCCCTACTTGAGATTAATCATAAAACATTTAACATCAGATTTCCATATAATAATTCTCCTTGTAATCTAATTTAATTAATTTTTGTAATATTATCTTTGATCGTCAAACTTATTAAAATTATTTAGTAAAATTATTTAATAATTAATTGTCATTTAATATAATGTTTTTATACGTTAATTAGAAGAGAAACTTCCATGATTGAGCGCTTTATGAAATAAATCGCAACACGACCATGGCAAGAAATCTGATGAGAGATCTTCGTACACCTACACTCGAAATTCTAATGTCCATTCTCGTCCGACGTTAGATTTTGCTATGACGCAGCTGCAGAATGTAAACTGCATCGCGCGTAAGAGCGGCGATATTATCATCTCTTTTGTCACGCACAATTGGAGGATGCGTTATTGACGGAAACGGTGTTGTCGCGTGGGCGCTCTTCCGAGATTTTTCGACGCATTACGCTGGTACCGTCATCCGCGAATTACGTAAAAGTTACTTCATGGTCGTCAGTTGCACGGAGGGAGATCGGCTTGAGCTAAGTTAGATCAGAGCCAAGTTAATCTGATCGAACTTTAAATTACACGCGGCTCTTCAAAACGAACATGCAATAAGGCCTTTGACATAATTGCAATACATTTGCTCATGGTCAATGTAATGCAACACTGATATTTGCAAGCGTGTCGCTTTTTTAATGGGGAGTATATCCTTTCCAGTTCGCGGAGCAAAGTCGTTATTTATCTTCGATCGTCAAGGTGAACCGGAATAGGCCACCGCTTCTTTGTGTAGGTGTCAAAAGAGAAGCCGAATAACTCGATAACTCGCACATGTATGTGAGTTTCCTTCTAGCAATACGTAATACCGATCGACAAGTCGCAATTCGCGTGATAAAATTTTATGATAGTGGCGTTACTCCGCGATGACTCTGCTCTGGTAGTATAACCCTGGTAAATATCGCATCAAATATCGTGTGATATTGAATTGAATATATTCTGAAAAATTCGAATTACATTATTAAACAAATATGCCTGTATATTATATTTAATTATATTTATAAATTATATCTAATTATATAAAAATTATATTTAATCGAAATTATATTTAATCTGTTTAGCAGAAAATATAAATATCAATTTTATTCTTAAAAGAGCGATGTAACTTGATATTTACATTCTAATTGCTACTCCTTTTCAACGGTGCTAATTATTCATCTTGATGTATGTCGTACGTTACTTCGTATCATGAATCATTCAATCATGTATTTAATAAGTTCGTAGATTGTGAATCAGTTAAGCTTAACATATATATATGTTATTAATATGTTATTGATTAAATTTAACATATGTTATTAATCATGAAGAATTAATAATTATTAAACGAATTAAAAAAAATTAAACTATTTTTTAAATTTGGAAATTAATTACAAAAATTTATCTTTAGAATTTAAAAATGTAATGTTTCAAAAGTTAAAAATTAAGAATTCAAATACCTTTACATAAAATTTGAAATAAATTTTCAGATAATTTATAATCATTAGTAAATACATTTGAAATCGATAGAAATTTATTGAAATATAAATAAACATATATTAATATATGTAAAGCTTGCTTTTGATATTATAAAATTACGACAGAGCTAAAATATTTACATTAGTTATGAACAATATATATATATTGTTCATAACTAATATAAATATATATATCTGTAGCAAATTTAATTAATATAGGAATTCAGTTCTTTATATATGCTCAATTATTATTCTTCTTTTAGAGCAAATCATATAATTATTAATATGATCGTAATCTAATTTATTTTTATATAATACGTAAGGAAACATTATTTGATCTTGGGAGATTATTCGAAATAATTTGTAATTTGTGATACATTACGGTCGTTATTTATAGAAATCGTGATTTGCATATTTCCGATATATGCGGTACCGCATATGCATTCGTAATTTATGTTGTCTCTATGGAGCATAATGCAATTGCGGCTCCATCTCGTTGAGTATATGAAAGAACGTTTCCGTTCACCAGATACCATGCTCGCGAGCCTTCCCGTTAATCAAGAGTAGATGGCGCTAACTAATTACAGTTGCTAATAAAAACAACATTCTAGTATGAGTATAAATGTATTAATTATCATATTTGACGATGTATTTTATATGAAAGAATCTTTTTATGTATTTATTTTTAATTTTACTTGGTGAAAGTATAATATTATTACGGAAATTTTGAGATGCATATCTTATATTATAGAAATTCTATTTTTATGAAACAAGTAATATAAATGATTGTTATTTAAATATAAAATTAGACTAATACACACACACACACACACACACACACACACACACACACACATAATATGATTTTATACATTCTTTGAAATCTGATTTCTCTTTTTTAATCTTATTTAATCTTGTTTTA